GCAATACAATTTTGGTGGCGACCGTGACCGCCCACTGGAAATATCAACCTATTCTGAGTGCGGCAATTGCAAAAAGTACCCAGAGTTGTAATAAACAAACATAACGAACACTTTCTTCTCATGAAGCAAAGCCTAATGCCACTGGTAAGAAATTCGACCGTTTTGCTCAGTGTACATCGTGTGAAATCGCGTTTAAATCGTGTAAAACCCAGTACTTTGGAGCACGATTTTACACGATTGCTCAAATCGTGTAGTTTTCAGCCCTGTGCAATACACGAAAATGGCCCACCTTACTACCATGAATGACACGATAAAAATCACGGTTTTACACGATTTGAACGGTGTACCAGCGGCAGTCGTGCGCTTTGAAGTTCATCACACATTTGTGATCAATACACGATTGGTACACGATTTTTCCTACGATTTTCATAGGAATAAAGCTGTACACGAACTTGAGCGCCGTGTGCTTTGGCCGATTTTTTACTAGTGTGCAATAATGCCAAATGGAACCATCCTTCGTATAGAGACATCACTGACCAGCGATCACCAATGATCACCATTGATCTCGGTGGGCACCTCCTCAACCAGACAGCCTGTGCAACTGACGGCGCGAATCTGTCTCGGTAGGGGTCGTCACTGTCTTTTTGGGAATATGTGGAAGAGTGCACGAAGAAGGGGTTCTGTTCAACAAGCCGCGGGGACTCTGTCAAGCACCCAATGGTGACCTGATTGTGGTAGACAGCGGCAATGCTGTCCTCAAAAGAGTAACGCAGTCAGGTACGTGGGGGTGCACAGCCTGGTTGTGCGGCGCAGCGCGGTTTTGATCAAAAGAGACTGAACGCCTGCCTTCGTTAACATTCCGCACGATTACGAGCATGCGCAAACCAGTTGATTTGCAATTTCAATAGTGCATTTGAAATATGGCAAAAAGAAATTCTCCTGTAAAAGGATGAACCCTGCCCTTGGACGGATGAATGTTAGCCCCAGCTCCCGAAATGTAGGCCCTAGGAACCGGCGTCCGCTTCTGGTCCGACCAGCCAGGTTTCTGGTGAAGCGTGCCAATCGTTAACCGCGGTCAACCACGTTAAGCCAGGGTTCTGGTTGCCTTTCAAAAAGGTGGGGGGGGGGGACCGGGGATTGACGGCGGGACAGCCGAGGGGTTCACCCTCGCCGACTTAGCAGGAAGAGACGTCTCCCTGGCGAGCAGCAAAGGTCTACGATGTATGAAGAGCACGGATCTGCAGGATGGCTGTTCGCCATCGGGATGCGATATTTTTGGTCCAGAGCAAAAGAATTCCCGTCTGGTGCGCTTCGAAGCGGCTGGACACTCGTCCGCGATGTCGCTGTCGGCGACACTCTCGTGGCGATGCAGTTCCGACTGATATCCACAATCGGGATCTGGCGCCCTGTGCGAAGCGTCGCCCTTTGCCTTTGGCACCCATTCTAGTTCGTAGAAATGTGGGCCAACGTCGGTGCCATGGCCCCGCCAAAAACTGGGCGCCCCTTGCAGACCCAGCCTCGCCAGAACTTGGTCCCTCTAACGGCACGCTTGTCCTCGCGGGCCTGTGTCCCGGTCACAGCCGGCAACACGTGGGCCGGCAGTGGTGGGACCTACATGGGGGGCCTGGGGCCAGCATCCGTTCAAGGGCAGGACTCAATTTTTCACGGGAGGGGTCTAATTCCATGCCTTGAAATACTATCGAACTGCGTGGTATAAAGTACGGCAGCGGATGGTAACTGATGACAGAGCTTTTGCCCATATATCTATTCCATACACAGCGCAGCACGTTCCATTGTTTGAAGGGCTCAGTTCCAGGGCGTATAGGAGTTGCAAGAGCGGTTCTTTGCTTTTTGTGTCGCGATTGTGGTTTGCTTTGACTAATTTGGATGGCGTTCGATCCCCAGCACCATCTGTGCGCGACTGGTTCGCATTGCTTTGGCTGAGGGCCAATGCCTTGTCACCACTTTCTGGAGTGTCCTGAGTCATCCACCTATGCCCAGGTTTTGTGAGCATATTTGCCGGTGTATTCGGTGCTTTTGGCGACAAAGACGGCGCGCCATCAGAGGCTACCTTTGACGACGGTAGCCTGGACATCGTGTGCTTGAAGAACGGCTCGGTCCTACTTTCAGACACGACCCGCGGGATCATACGGTCTATTTCGTGCATCAGCGATTGCCCCTCGCCGTCATCGGGCAAACGAGAGGCCTTTGACGAAGGTGTGAGGGCAACATCCGAACGTCGCTGGTGGAAAATCAGCGAAAACACAAGCGCATCCGGCCTAATGGTCGACGCATTTTGATTCATGTTGCATTGCGTTCATTGCACTGACCCATCAATGCGAGCCTGGCACAATGTCAACATGTGCTTGTTGTCGCTTCAAATTACTCTGGAAGCCGTTGGATTTTCATACTGTTGTTGGGCGAATGTGCTGGCGTGCTACAAAGTTGAACTGTCAAGGCACGACTAGCGGTGTAGATCGGAGGTGCTTGCCCAGTCTATCGCACCCAGCTCAACAATGGAGCAGCTCGCCGCAGCCGCCTATTGCGCTTCTTGCGCTACAGACGGGCAATTGGGCATCTTCATCACTTGCTTCTCGGTCGTTGCATCTGTCTAAATACATGACACAGAACGGCCTTTGCACCCATGAGACGGTCTTCATGTTCATCACGTAGCCTGAGTGGTGGTGCTGTCAGAGTAGATACCACGTCCAGTACCTGAAGATTCAGCTGTATGATTTGACTATGCATGCGTTGTGAAATTGCCCATCCACGCAGGGCTCGTTCGTGATCCTACAGACATGGAAGCGTCTCCTACCCAAGTCTCCTGCCAGGAGGCGACTCTTGAATGCTCTGACTTTTGTGATCACCTGGCAGGCTGCCACAACAACTGCACTGGCTCCTGGCTGGTGACGGCGGCAATAGTGGTCGCAATTTCAGCGGGCGTCGCCTATTTCAAGATAGACTGCGCAAAGTACTTGGGGCGCAAGCTCCAAAAGGCAAAAGACCGCTACAGTGGCATCACTCCCCAGGTAAGAGTGCCCTGGCTTGGTCCATGGGTCTTCACCTATGTCATCATTGATTGCTGCAGCAGTTGCTTACTGTTCAGCTCAAATGGGTGCATGCTGGACCCTGATCACATCGAGTCTGTTGTGCAAAGATTGCTTACTGTAACTCGAGATGTGGACACATCCAATAAAGGCGAGTCAAAAGGCGCCTTGAGCAGGCAGTATGAGCGTAAGATCCCCAACTACTCAAATGTTCAATCCGCTCTTCAATCCCTGTTCAGCTGGATACCACCACTTGTCGCCAATGCCATGCATCTTGAAACTCACCTGAAAACGTCACGCAATAAGATCCTTGCAATCAAGCCAGTGCAAAAGGTCCAATATTCGAAAAATACGAGGATCAGTACATTTGCCCTCTGCTTCTTTCACCGATGTCATCTCCCATTTCTGCCAACGCTGCCTCTTCCGATCCGCAGAGTCCTGCGGATCCGTACTTCCTGCCGAGCGGCAAGGCGCGCGGAGTCGTGGAGGACGCTGACGTGACTGCCCCCCTTGTGGAGCCGGCCGGCTCCATCGCTTCTGAGGACACAGAGGCGTCTGGGGCTTCCATTGGGAGGACGATCCCGGCCAAGCCAGGGGACAACGGTCGCAGCCTCCAGGGCATCCCCGAACATGGGGAAGAGTTTCCTGGCTTCAAAGACATTGTCGCCTGGAGTTCTGGCCAGCCACCACGAGGGGAGCATGGCCCTGAGACGGCTGATTTGGAGAAAGGCATCCGCCCTGCTGCTAGGCAGTGGTAAAGAATGGCACTCCAAGCCGCTGTCCAGACTGCACAACGTGGCCTTTGCTGTTGGTGCACTTTTGGATGCATGACTTCCAGGAATTGGTCATTATTGACATGTGAGTTAGAGTGTGCGACAGTGATGACGGTGAGGAAAATAGGCACTGGCAGGCAATCTTAGGGGGGAATGGTCCGGAGCCCATGCAGAGTTGGTTGACATGGATGATCAATACGGCACTCAGTGGCCTTGTGCCGAGACGTGAGGACGAAAGTTGTTTTGCCTAATAGACTCGATTGGCATGGAACTCATTCTATCGCATTTTACTCCACATGGGCGGGGACACCTTGACCAGTTGTCATTCAGAGTGATGGCGCATTGCAGCAGACAGAGTGGTACGCCTTTCATTTAGGACAACTGCGAAAGATATCGCACAACACAACTGACTGGGTGTGTCACATCTGACAATGCTGATGGCCACGTGTACCTGGGCCAGTTGGCACCTGGAGCGATGGCATGTTGGACAGTGGTAAAGCCATTCCTCCCCGCACGACCATCGATATTGAGATACAACAGAAAAATTAAACGAATCAAATAACATCACGCCCTTGCAGGTCCAGCTCGGGGTGGCCGACACACAAACAGTACCGTCCCCAGTGTCCTGGCTTCGGCTTTGTCCATGTTCCCGCTGTCCACAACGTCCACGCAGCCGTCGTCCTTTGCCACAAGGCAGTACGCTTCGTCCTCTGGCAGGGCAGAGTCCGCATTGGCAACAAGAATCCCTGGCCCCTTCAATTTCCGGATTTCTTCTTCAGACTGCAGCACAGAGCAGGGGTGAACTGAATTTGATGTTCAGGCCTATTAGAACTGAAGATTAAGCCTGAAGCATGAGTCTAGCTCGAAGCTTGAATCTAAATGGAGCTCGAGTGATATTGATGGCCGGTGCAGCAACCGTGCATATGATCTTTGACACATTAGGTAGCCGTCACCCTGCAGTAAACCCTTGCCCTCTTCGCACCCAAACCTCACATCATGTACCCCAAACAATGATAGAAATAGAAACCGACTGACCCCTGGCGCTTCATCCACTGGAGCCACTTGTCCACAGCCTCCGACACAACTTTTTCTAGAGCCATGCTCTGAACACATCATAATGAAGACCACCCAAGCCATGGGAAACTGACAACAGAGGAACAGAGACTTCTGGCCAGCTCTTTCACACCACGGAAAGAGACCAAAAGTGCTCACAAAAAGGGGAAGATTGTAGGGATAATATGGCATGTTTACATCTTTCCTCAGGAACCACTGGACAGCAGATGCCACGAGCCCACCGCGCATGCAGAGAGCATAACAGCGCAATGCACAAAGACAGAGCATAAGGAAGCAGCATCAGAGAAATGACCCTGGGAGCCTCTTTGGAGCGTGCTACTGTCGCTAGGGGACCCCAATCAACCTTGGCACTCGTTGATGCGATGAGGAATGGCATTTGCGAGCAGTCAGGAATCTCTACAGCGACGGGCCTCGACGCCTCAACCAACACCTTCCATTGTGGCAGAGCCTGCAAATCCATATGATGATTCAACATAAATTCCAACATCACAAGATTGGCACGACAGTTTGCTTTGTTTTGTTTTAGGCAAGTACAAGAATTCGCACAAACTAAATCAACACACATGACCTTCCCAAAAAATTTTAGGTACAGGACTATCACATCTTTGCAAATGTAGGGGCCACTGGGTGCAGATTTTCTAGTACTTGCACAATACTCCGTGTTGCATAATGTTTCCATCGACTCAAAAGACCAAGACACCATCTTCAAGAAAATGAGAAAAGAGCAGCTCTAAAGTCTTGCCCAGCAGGTGCTTGTCCAATGTATAACGTGTTGCCCTTTCCCTGACATACAATCTCCACACACACGGGACTTTCTCTTGTCTTATCAGAACAGCCACAACAACAATAGTCTTAACGCCAGATGCTGCTGAATATGGAAAGTACATGAGCAATACTCCTACCGCAAGTTCGTAGTCCTTATGCACTTAGGGGAAGAACGTCTTAAAAAGCAATCAATTGCTGTTGTGAGTGAACAGGCAGCAATCATCTGCCACCGAACAGCACAATGAAAGAGGTGTTCTGCTGTCCTCCACTCACCACCCAGCTTTGGGTGCCCTGGCCAGATGTTGTGAACACCCCAAACACACCCCTCTTATTGCATTTTGGAGCATCCGAGACGTCTTTCGCCAGGGCCTGCAGCACAGAACACTACAATCAACAATCCCGTGTGACCTCGTTTTGAGGTCGTTTCAAGCGCGTCACATCTTTTCATTTGGGTTTCAGATGGACAACTCTGAGCTATTTCGAAGATGGCACCACGCATCATACACAGAATAGGACTTGCTGGCAAAGAACAGAGTCCCGATGTTCTCCAAAATGGATGCTCATGTAGCTTAGAATTGTGAAAACACAATAGTGCAGCATGAACATGTGTTCCCTGTGGAGTCCATGGGGTTGCAGAATGTTCCTGACCTGTTCGATGGTGCCAACCACTGGGACAGGCATGACTCGCAGCTCGTCCTCTGTCATGCGCAACATGGCAAGCCTGGCAGTCTGTGGCCTTGCGACACCATTCTCTGTGAGCTCATCAATCAAGTCTTCCTGAGCATTGGGAACACAGCCCAGTCAGCAGCCAGCAAGACAGCCATGGTGTTGAGCAAATCCAGGAGCAACCCACGCTCAATTCAAAAGTTCCGCACCAACTGGGGCATTTGTTTTCCTGCCCCACCTGCCATTCACTTTATGTTCTCCCTTTCGTGTGCACTGTCTTTATTGCATTGTGCAAGAAATGGTTAATTCCTATTTGCGAGATTCACTATGGGTCCATCTCTACAATACCCTTCGACATACAACACTACACAAACACCTCTAGCAACATGACGTCTCAATGTCTGACATGAGTAGTTTGTCCCAGAACGACCTGTGTGTCTGTGACTGTTCTGCCATAACAGTGTCAACTACTGTGTGGTCTCTGATCGATTGTGTTCTTATGGGCCAATAAGCCGCAGGAAACACGCATCGCAACACAATAGCACAGAGAAGGTGGGTTTCTGTTGCCAACAGGACTTCGCCTTGATGGGGGTGGTGGAGGCTCCTGAATCGCCGTGAGACCCGAGCTGCCAGGCACATCGACAAGATTCTAGCACACTAACGACACATATTATTGTGGAGGTGGAAACTAACCAGCCATAGCAGCCCACAGGGATTGTATTGCCAATTCCCCGGAAAATTTGCCTTCTTGGTGAGTAGGTGAGGACTGTGCATCATGACTGCTGGTGCCAACATCGTGCTAAATTGCATACTCTAGAGTCATTCCCAACCTATGCTGACAAGATCAGCTGGGCCTCTTTTCAGCACTTCCCAGGCTTCAGGACCAAAGGAAAGTTCTAAGGACACCTTCAGGACAGTCAGCCCGTGTCACCATGGAGCGTGCAATGACTACACACTGTTCATACCTTGGAGTTTCTACAGTACACCTGCCAGCACCCATGGCTGGCAGTTCCCATCCACCACTGGCTGCAAGACGTAACTTAAAATTCGAACAACAAGAGTAACATTTCCCTGCTCCCCAACCCCACCCAGCCAGTATTCATATTAATGCAGCACCTCCAGGAGAGATCACCAGCAAAAGAATACTGTGAAGCCGACTGGGCAAAATGCCAAGGCCAAAACACTAAGCAGTGTGCCACGTATTCAAATTGTCTAAGGGTATACCAGTACAGCAACAGTATCAGTCCATATGTATCAGTGCATGCAGCCTCCAAATGAGCACACACAAGGCTCTGGACTTATTTCCACAATAGGGAAGACAAGATTTTGACTTTAACATGCTTAGCGTCAAATGGATGCCTAGCTCAGACCCCCTTCCCTCTCCTAGTGTCAATCCATATTTTCACACATCTTGCAATACATGGTTGTTAAGTGCCGCAACACCGTTGTACTTGTGTTCATATGCACTCACATGCACACACCAGTAAGATAAGTAGGTGCGGAATGGTGTACGTTTCCCATTCTCAACATTTCTTGACACGAACGGGCTGCATGAATGTGAATTCCACACAGAAACACCTGGTACAACAATTCTTAGGGAAAAATGGGCGGCATGATGACCAATCCATGTGCCCTTCACTTGTCAACGAATCACAACTTCAAAAATCTCAACTTCCCTTGACAATGTGCAGGAGCCACCAAATCCATGCTCAGCAGCAGCAGGGTGCGATCCATTCAATGCCTTCCGCTTCACAAACACTCTTTGTCTTTCTTGACAATTGTGAATGGGCCACATTTGCACACTGTACGAGTTAAGCCCCTACTACTGTATGGTACAAATGCAAAAAAAGTAAGCGATCGTTGCCAGCTTCACAGCCCAGGGATACTTCGGGCTGACGCAGCAGCCACAATGCTGTTCATCAATAGTCTTGTGTCCTCACCATTCTTTCACGAGCAGCATCTGTCACTGCCACTTCGATACCCCTCTGTGCAAGTTCTTGCTGCTCATCAGCAAGCCTGGACTCCAAGACCTGCAGTCCAGAGAGCCCATGCCATCAGAGTCTGTGCGATTCAGTCAAATCAGAATAGCGCAATGCATGTCTACCAGGCTGAAAATTTTCAGCGATTCAGTCAAATCAGAATAGCGCAATGCGTGTCTACCAGGCTGAAAATTTTCAGCAACTGGCGGCAGGCCCACACAGAATTGCTGCATGCTGCGTCATGCGCTGCTGGCAGCACTTGCAAATTTCAAAACGTCCACGTTGGCCACCTAAATATGGGAGTTCCAAAGATGTAAATTCCATGCAGAGGACCAGCCCTACAGGGCACCACACAAATGCAATGAATCCAACATGAAGCACTTTGCACTGAATAACATGATCTGTTGCCATTGAGTGGTAGCGCAGCAGTTTCAGCAATGTTCATGGACTCTGTAAATGTTCACAGTGTATCAATTGTGAGACAACATACTTTTTATATTTGCCATGTCCAATCGACATGATATCACACACAATAAAACACCCTTCGGCTCACATTTCTGAAATATTTGAAGGCCAGACAGTCCCCAGCAGCCTCGGAGAATCCCTCTTCAAAACCGTTTCGTCGTTCATGTTCCTTGATGGCGCGAGCCAGCTCCATGCTTTCCTGTCAAGCAAAACAAGCCAGTCAGCAGGCAAACAGACACCAACTCTATTAAAGAAGAGGCGTCACAGCAAAAACCGCAACCCATGGTACTGAAAGCTCCTCGTTTGCAATGGCACAGGTTTTGGATCCTCAGTTTCAGCTGCCCAAACAACTGCAGTGTGGCCATTTTCAGGCATCTTTCATGAGCCAGCTGCTCCCCTGTAAGACTCTGCCTGACAGGTGACATGAATCTTTGTTCCAGGGTACGCAACCCCAACAACAGTGACAGTACTAGCACACCCTTGCCTTACCTCAAGTGTGCACAACACCATGCGGATACCTGTTATGGCTGCGCCTTTCTGGCAAGGCAACTGAGCGTTGAAGGAGCAGACACCTTGATGGCCTTGAACCCAATGATCACGCAGTTCACGAGCAGCACACTCTTGCACACAGGCCTTTGAAACTCTTGCCACTGAGATACAGCGATGCACAACACACTGGCTGCCGGGTGACTGGCCATTCGTCGACTCGATGTGCACTGATGTTGGTAAAGTTAATAGTGTGTTTGCAAGGGTTCTCAGCTATAGTATGTGTGGAATGGACAGACGAATCCAAACCCTGGAGATCGTGATGCCGGGTATCGACAACAACTGACACACTGGAGCCAGTTATCAAGAGTCACCTCTGCTTACAGAATGGTGGACCAGTTCACTATTGATTGCTTCAAACAATCCTGGCACCCATGAACTGGCACATTTTTCACATCCATTTGGCCAGTGTTTGCAGCCCAGCTCGCTCACCCCCACACACAACAGGTGGGGTGAGCTGCTTTGAAAACCATTTTGGATGCATGCATGCCCAGCAACGCTGCAAGGTGTCAATGTCACTGTTCTGCTGTGTGACGGCACCTGTAGTCAGTGGCCTTTAGGAAGACGGCTGGATAACGAAGAGAAGTACCCCTTCCTGTCATAACTCCCCTATCCTTTCTTTACTTTTCCTCTTTAACGTCCAGTTCTTTTCTTTCCTTCCCCTTTCTCCTTTTGGGACCACCATCTCCACACAGAGCAAATGCTTGGAACAAGGTGGCAACAAACATGTTGCGCCATGGGCACAACATTCTGAGTATCAATGCCATGAGTGTGATTCATCATAGACTAATGGACAGCTATTAATCCCCTGCTACCAGTCTTCAAACATGCCCACAGTCTCACATTGCCGTTCCGTTTTATAACACCCAACCATCACCTTCATGGTTTGTGGCCATGGTTTCTTCCCACAAAGCCAATCCACATGCACTCCCAGCATCCACCCAGTAATCCCCAATGAGCAACAGTAGGCCCTCTCAGGGTATGGGGCACCTGCCAATGGACGTCTTTGGAGTTTTAATAGTGTAAGGGATGCTATATCAGGCTCGCTGCCCAGCGGTGATGCTCCATTCAAGCGATGAACAACACTGCAGCTCGCAGCCCTTATCCAAGCTTTGGGCGGTTCCTGTTACTGCTGGAAGAAAAAGGATGCCGCCTGATGACCTGAACTCTGCACAGACACGCGCCGTGACCAAACCATCGCTTTTCACGTTGCTGCAGTGCACACTTTCAAAAACCACGCGGACCCACAACCCCACCTACCCTTGGGTCGAGCCCGTGGTCGGCGATGTACTGCGCGCCGCGCGCCCGCTGCTCCGCCTTGAGGAACCTCAGCTCGTACAGCATGAAATACGCGCCGTCCACGTCGTACGCCCTCAGCGCCTCCTCGCTGATCGCCCCGCCCATCAGCGACTCCCGGATGTCCCCCGCGATGCGCATCACGCTCTGCTCCTTGCGCGGCACCCCTGCCGCGTCCTCCAGCGCCGACCCGTCGAACCCCGCCGCGCGCAGCGGCTCCAGCATCGCGGCGCGCTCGTGCCACTTGCCCACGCCCCCCCTTACACGCTGTAGCATGGCATCCGCATTCCCGGGCACCTTGCCCTCCTTCATCACCGCCTGTTGTAATCTCTCCTCGTCCATGAAGCCCGGCGGCGGGCGGTAGCGATTGGACGGCGTCTTGTTGATTGAACCGTCGTCATCGATCGCCACCTGCGGCGGGGATCGCGACTCGCCGCCGGGCACGATGAGTCTGGGCGGCTGCTGGGGGGATCCCGGGGGGCCTGACGGCCGCGGCGGGCGCTGGTTGGGCAGGATGAGCCCCGGAGGGGGCTGCTCACCGGGGCGGTAGGCCGCGGGGGCAATTGCGGCCAGATTGCGCGCGTGGCCCGCCTGTGGCCTCCGCACCACCCCGCCCATGCTCATCGGCGCCATCTGTTGTGCCATGGATGGGTGGGGGGGCGCGTGGAGAGGGGGGATTCAGCAGCGTGGGGGGCGGAGGGGTGCCTGGGGAAGGGGCTGGGCGACTGGGGCTTGGCTGCACGGCAGAGGCGGCCGGTCGCGCGCCCCGAAAGAGGAGACGGGCGGCAGGCCGCTGGGGACTGTCCCGCGTGTCACACTGGAGGCGCAGGGAGCGGCGGGGAGTTGGGAGGATGTTTTGGGGCCTGTACCCATACCGTACATTATGCGCAGTGACTGGGCGGGTTCGGAGATGCATTTTTTGCATTTTGCAACCTATTCGCGCCGTTTTCCATGTTTCGAAACAGGGCTGCGAGTGCCGGTGTCCTGCAGCTGCATTTGCCGGCAGACGCGCGGTCGGCAACAGCGCATTTTCGTGCACAGACACGACATCGCGATGTTTATGTATCGCGTGGCTCATGCGGTTGCTGTGGGAACCACGGGCCGCATCAGTACATTGAACATGTGATCGCAGGTTGGAATGCAAGCACTGTATGCAAGAAGTGCGCGATACTGGTAACGAGGCAAGTGGCAAGTTGGCAAGCATGCTGCGCAATAATGCATCACCGCTGTGCTTGCTGAATCAGTTTTGAATCAGACCAGCAAGTGGTCTTTGTGTTAAGCACAGGAGCCATTGCACCTGAAGACTCGAGTATGCTACCATTGATGCAAATTTGGGGAGCAAGAAATAGAAGAAAGCAACAAGGAGATTCATCTCCTGCAAAGAGAGCTGATCTATTTGTACATGGTTGCTTGGGCACTGTATATTGGCCCTGAATTGAATTCAGGGCAGAAACTGGCCCGCCCGCGAGTTGTGTACCACCCTCGATGGACGGTTGCGAGTACATGGCACTGACTATTTTCCTGGGCTCTAAGCGCTTGCAAATATCTGGAAGAAGCCTGTGTCGTAATCTCTAGATGGATCGTCATAAAGGATTTGTGGGCAATTTTCCAATGAATGTAGAATGGCTCCATGTGTAAATGAAGCATTTCTTGTATGTACCTCAGTGCATTCAATGAGGCAACATTGGATTTGGCCTGACCAGTAGATTTACGGTGCAAACCAAATCTACTGAAAATTAGTCTCGACTTCATGGCAGCCAAAGTCAAAAGGAGTCCAGGCACGTCCCTGGCTGTTGCGAGTCCAGAATCAGTGCTCAGCTACATTGCAGTATGCTCTCCACAGTACGCTTGCAATTTTGCCAAGGATTACTCACTCATTGGGACTCCAATGCCGCCACGATGGAGCCTTTTTCAAACACCTTGCCAGAATTCTGGGACGAATGGCTGCTTGCCCTGTCGTCAGGGGCATGAATGCTATTCAAAGATTAGGGAATTACAGGAACACAAGAATGCGCAATTGTTATGGAAGTGATTCACTCACTCCTGCTGCTCGCGGGAAATATGTTTGCAGATGCAGAGAATCTTGCAAGAGCAGGTCCGCGAAATTTCATCCCGGGCACCATCGTTGCTGAAAAACGTAGCCTTTCAAAAGGTAGTCGCCTGAGGGTCTGCATATCTTCGTGAATCGGACCCAAACCTTGAAAACAGAGCACTTCTGGTCCGGTTGTTGTTTTGAGCGCTGTCGCTATTAGGGAAGACAATATTTTCAATTTGTTATGCTTAGCGTCAAATTGACGTTAGGGGGGGAGGGGTCCAGCCACTGAAGATAAGAGATTATGTAATTGCACTAATCAAAATAAGGTGGGAAGATGCGCAAAAAACACTATTGATCAGTGACAGATATCTCATGTTAGTTAGTATTGCTGAGTCATCCTAGTAGCGAAATAAGGATTGACACTAAACTAAGGAGGTGGGGAGGGGGGGCTCTGAGCTTAGCGTCACATTGACGCCAGCCGTACCATATTCAAAATAGTGTCATCCCTTACACTGGGAGACTTTTGCATCGTCTTCAACTCCTTCTGCTCTTTCTTCTGTGGGCAGAGGATGCCCATTACATGCCATGCTTTACTTTTTGCTGTAAGACGATTTGCGCCTCTGGCGGCCTGCGGGTTTGCATCTCGCCGGGCTGACCGGCTTGCCCCAAGCATCTGGTCAATGGGGGAAAACGCAGCAGTGAGCATGCCTGCCAGCAGCCGCGGGAGCAAGCCAGAGAAATGACGTTAGTTTTCGGCGTGCAGAAGAATGCGCGCTGTTCCATTAGGTGGACGATAGGGGGCGGTTGAGCGCAATACACAGGTGGCGCTGCCATATGCGTGCGCGCCGACCACGACGAAATCACGGCAAAACCGTTCCAGATTAGTGGCGAGGCGCTTACGAGCCATCCGCAAATTATGCCCACCGTAAATGTAGTCATCAACGGGACGCCCCTGCCCCGTCGCCTCGCTGGCCAAGCGCGTGCCCAGACACGTGCGCGCCGCGGTGAGCATCCCTTCCGCGAGCCCCACCAATGGTCACACCTTTGCCCGCAGGCAACTCTTGTGTCACACCCCGCGTGCGAAGTTCCGCAGGTTCTGGGGGGGGTGCGCTCACACGCGCTGCAAGTCCCCGCGCGGCGTGCTGAAGGCCGCCCCCCCTTGCCAGACAGTCGCGTCCGGCCTGCGGTCACTCCATGCAGCAGAGAATCCACTGAATGCATCCACAGATTTGGGCGCTCCCGCGTCCCAAACTTGCACGGCGAAAACGGGCGGAGGCGATGAAGGTGGTCACAGCAGATCCGTGAGCATGACGTGAGGGCCTGGGACGCACGGGGGAGTGCGCGGGGCGGTCATTGTACACCACAGGGGGCGCTCAGTCACTTTTGGGCGCTGCCGGCGCGAAGGTCGCCGAGCAGTACTTGCCAGTAGCCGCTGCGGCCCAAAAAATGAAATGCGGGGTGGGGTGGGATGGGGGTTTACAAGAAGGGAGCCAGCCGGGTCGAGGACAGCACGCCAAACCACGGCGCCAGGGAGGGGGGCTGCCGACGGCCCGCGAGAGGGGCTACCTCGGCGGCGGTCGCGCCTTGGCGCCGGCCCGGCTCAGGCGCGGCGCTGCCGTGGGGCGGGTCGCCGATCTGCCCTCTGCGGCCAGTGGAGCCCCTTCGTGACGTGACCCTGCGCGTCGCGCGTGGGCCGCAGGTGGCGGCACGTGGGCCTCCACCCTCGGATAGCGTGCTCGCAGCGCGCGATGGCGAATCCGGGGAATTCCTTCAGCCAGCTGGTGGAGACCTGCTCCAGCGGGGGTGGTGAGGCGCTGCCCAACCCGCTGAGTGGGCATCCGAGATACGAGAAGGTGAGGGCGCGGGGCGCGGACCGTATTCGCCGACATGACGAGAATTGCGTCAGAAAAGCCGCGCGCGAAAAAGGGAGCGAACGCGAAAATCTAGGCCCCTTTTGGAGGTTTGGGGGGCATGGCTCGACGACCTGTGACGGCCGGGCATGTTTTCGCGCGCGATGATGTCGCTGAGGCGGAAGTCCCATTTTTTCTGCGGCCGGTGGTGGCGACGAGGGGCGCGCGGCGGTAGAATGGGAGCGTGGACGGGCTGGCGATGGCATCCTGATGTGAGGCGCGCGGTCGATGACTGATGGGCGTTTGCACGGGGCAGGTGGGCGACCTCGGCAAGGGCTCCCAAGGCTTCGTGCTGCTGTGCTCGGACAAGTTCACGGGCGAGCGCGTGGCGATCAAGTTCCTGCGCAGGGGCCTGGCGGTGAGTGCGGGGGGCCGGGGGGGGACGGAAAAGGGTTTGCGGAGGGCGGGGGCGCACGAGCGCTGACGGCGCTGGCGCTGGGGTGACCGCTGGCGAAAGGGCGGGCTTTGATGGAGCTGATGCTGAGCCCTGCGGCGCCTGGTGTGCTGCCTGGCTGGCTGCGCCTCGCGATCTGGCCCCTGCGCGTCCTGCTGACGCTCATGCTCGTGGCCCGACAGTCCAGCGAAAAGATTCGGAGAGAGCTGCTGAACATGAGGCCCTTCTGGCACGCGCACGTCATCCAGTTCTACGAGGTGGGTCGAGACTCCCCAGGGACTGTCGGCATGCGTTTAGTTCGGCGTTTGTCTTGTCGTTGGCACGCGTCGTACAGACGGCTGAATGCGGAGTAGATGGCGCCCAGCGTCCCGGACGGTGCCCTTTCAGTCTAACGCCGGACAAAAGAGAGGTGCTTTGCCGCCACAGACGCAGCTGACCTTTGCCGGCGCCGCTGACTGCACGGGCCGTCAATAATGCCCCCTGCTTGTTCCCCCCTTCCCCATTTCGGTGTGAGCATTGTCGATCAAGTGCGAGGATAATCGCGTCAAGCGATGGGCGCTCGCGCCGCGGCGGCGTGAAGATATGCTGTCTTCGCTGGTCAAGAGCGGTCACACGCTGGGCGTTGACAGTATGACGGCGTGTGCCGCGCGCAGGTGTTCTTGACGGACCTGTACGTGTGCATAGTGATGGAGTACGCCCCCGGGGGCAGCCTGTCGCACTACCTGGCGAAGAACGTGCTCACGGAGGACGTGGCGCGTTTCTTCTTCCAGCAGCTCATCTTCGCAGTGCGATACTGCCATCACATGGTGAGTTTCTCCCGCTGTCCCTGGCCAAGCGGATGGGCAAGAGCCGCTCAGTGTTGGGCCAATCAACAAAAATGGACCATTCTGCGCGTGGAATCATGCCTGGTGCAGCCTGCAATATTCAAGGACCAAGTTGTGCCGTGGTTGGAGGACAATAGCGAGTAGAATTCGAGCACAAAGTTATTACACAGCGTCCATTCCTGCACCAACAGCGCGTGCACTCTTTCCTTGACGTATTAGGAGGAGGGTAATGTCTGGAAACATGCATACGATTACAACTCTGCTCCATCCCAGTTTTCAACAGAATCTGCCCTCTTAAGTCTTTCGTTGATTGCCTCGAGTCTGATGATGCCTGAGTTTGTAATTTGATGCCCGTTGATCTGCTATTTCCCCATCACGATTGTCACAGTGGCATAGAATCGCATACCTTTCTGTGTGAGTATCTGTGGGAAATGTTTACATTCGGAATTGTCACTGTGACACAGAATCGCATACCTTTTCTG